TCCATATTGACAGCAGTCGACGTGGTCAGCAAGACGACGTAAGGTCCCTTCCACCTGGGTTCCAGGATGTCACTGTGAAACCTCTTTATGTAGACCCAGTTTCCAGGTTGAACTGGTGTGGTTCTGGGATGGGGACTGTTTCCTAGAGGGCATGCAGTTTAGGCCAAACCTGCTCATGAACACATTGTGTTGCTCTGACCTTAGTTATTAACTCATCATCTTCTAATTCTGCAATAGCTGCCGACTGGAGGCTAGGTATGATGGGAGAGGGAGTACCATACATGATTTCAAAAGGCGTTAACCCTCTTCAGTAAGGAGAGTTTCTTACACGGTACAAGGCAAGGGGAAGGAGAGTGACCTAGTTTCCTCCAGTTTCCAGGGCTAATTAGGTCAAGGTCTCCTTTAAAGTTCGGTTCATTCTCTCTACCTGTCCTGAACTTTGGGGTCTATATGCACAATGTAATTTCCAATCTGCCTTAATAAATCTTGTTACATCTTGGCTTACCTTGGACACAAATGCTGGCACATTGTCTGACCCTGTCATGAGGGAATTCATACCTGGGCAGCATCTCCTCCAGCAGCTTCTTAGCCCCTACCTTTGCAGTTTCAGTTTTCGTTGGAAATGCTTCCATCCAGCCAGAGAAGATGTCCACGAACACTAGCAGATACTTGTAGCCGTATTTCCCTGGCTTGATCTCTGTAAAATCAACTTCCCAGTAGACCCCCGGTCTCTTACCTTGCAGCCGAGAGCCTGGATGTTTGTTTACCCGTGTTGCGGGCGTTGGTTAATTGGTGAGCTTTGTAGCTTGATGCTATGCCCTGGAAGACATCCTGCATGTCTCTGAAAGTCACCTTTGATTGTCTCACTACATCTGTCATTCGTTTCACTCTCATATGAGTGACTCTGAATTTTCCTGAGGATAGACCTTGCCACTGAAGTGGATAATATTAGTTTACTTTCAGCTGTTTGCCACCAACCATGTGAACACTGGCTCATGGGCTGATTTTTGGCCCATGTGATCTCTTCTTCTGTATAGGCTGGGTGTTCTGGCAGGTTGGGATTGGGCGGTTCTGGTAGGGTCGCAGCCAACACCGAAGTAGTGGTTTCCTCTAATGCCACTTCTTTGGCAGCTTTATCAGCTAGGTTGTTGCCTCTAGCTACCACAGTTGTTCCCTCCTGATGGCCTGAACAGTGTATAATCGCCACTCTCTTTGGTAGCTAGAGGGCTTGAAGCAATTGTAAGATCTCATCTTTATTTTTGATAGTCTTTCCTTCCGCAGTCAGGAGTCCTCTCTCTTGGTATATGGCTCTGTGCACGTGAGCAGTGGCAAATGCATACAGGCTGTGCATGTAGATGTTGACAGCCAGCCCTTTTCCCATGGTAAGGGCCCAGAACAGTGCTATCAGTTCAGCCCTTTGAGCTGAGATGCCTGGGGGAAGAGACTGAGCCCAAATTATCTGTTTCTGTGGATACCGCTGCTCCCGCTCTCCTCCGACCATCTGGAATGAAACTGCTTCCTTCCGTGAACCAAGTCCGCTCTGCTCCCAGAAGAGGGAAGTCCTTTAAATCAGGGCGAGTGCTGTGAACTTGGGCCAGAATTTCACTACACCTGTGAAGTGAGTGATCCAGATCAGGGTCAAGTAGGAGGGTCACCAGATTCAGAGAAGTAGGTGCCTGGAAAGTAACTCTGCCAGGGTTAATTAGTAAAATCTGGTAATGTGTCATGCGACCATTACTGAGCCATCAGTTAGGCAGCTGTTTGAGTACTCCCTCTATTGCATGGGGGAGGGGAGTTGTCACAGCTAAATTTTGTCCTGAAGTCAGTTTGTCGGCATCTTTGACCAGTAATGCTGTGGCTACAATAATGTGTAGGCAAGGTGGCCGTCCTGCTGCCACTGGGTCCAATTTCTTTGATAGGTAAGACACAGGCTGTTTCCATGGTCCCAAAGTTTGAGTCAGGATACATTTGGCTATTCCCTTCCATTCATCTGCATATAAGTGAAATGGCTTGGTGATATCAGACAACCCCAAGGCAGGAGCTGACAGCAGGGCCTGCTTTATTTTCTCAAAAGCCCTCTGATAGTCTTGGGCCCAAACAAAGTTCTTGGTTCCTCTGGTGGCTTCATATAAACATTTGACTATTTCACTATTTCAGCCTGGAATCCATAGTCTGCAAAGCCTGCGGACCCCAGAAATTCTCTTACCTGTCATGAGCTCTGGGGGATCGAGATGTTAAGAACCGTCTCTTTTCTTGCCGTGGACAGCCACCAATGGCCTTCCTTCAGGATATAGCTGAGATAGGTGACCTCAGTCTTACAAAGCTGTGCTTTCCTGGAAGATGCCCGATATCCCATGTCCCCCAGAGCCTGTAAGAGATTCTGTGTCCCTTTCTGGCAACCCTCTTTCATTTCTGCAGCAATAAGAAGGTCATCAACATACTGTACCAGGATTATGTCTGGGTTATTAACTCTGTAGTCACCCAAATCTTCATGTAGAGCTTCATCAAAGATAGTGGGTGAATTTTTGTAGCCTTGAGGCAGACAGGTCCACGTGAGTTGCCCATTAATGCCTCTCTTAAGATCATGCCGTTCGAAGGCAAAGTACTTTTGGCTTTTGGAGGCCAGAGGTAAGCTGAAGAAAGCATCTTTCAGGTCTAGGACAGAATACCATCTCCAGTCTGGGGGCAGAGAGCTTAGTAGAGAGTAAGAATTAGGTAATGTAGGGTGTATGTCCATCAGTCTGCAGTTAACTTCCCACAGGTCCTGAACAGGACGGCAGTCATTTGACTTTGGTTTATTCTCGGGCAACAATGGGGTGTCCCAGGCTGACTCGCACGGCCTGAGAACTCCCAAGGCCAGTAATTTCTGGATTTGTGGAGTATTCCCCTTCCGTGCCTCCTGTGACATGGGGTATTGGTGGACTCTTACAGGGTCTGCACCCAGTTTGAGTTCTACAAACACAGGGGGTTAATGTTTTGCCAATCCCATACCTCCTGTTTCTGCCCACGCCTGGGCAAGTTTTGCCAGGCAAACCTCCAGATCCTGTTCAGGAGTTGGTGGTGGCTTGTATAGTCTATATTCAGTCTCAGAGGCTAGGTCAAGTGTTAGCACTTGGATCGGGTTACTGTTCTGATTCCTAAGCTGGATCTCTCCAGGATTAAAATGAATCTGAGCTCTCATCTTGGCTATCAGGTCTTTCCCCAGTAAGGCGAAGGGGCATTCAGGAATGACATGGATTACCCTTTCCATTTCCAAATCCGCTGTCCTTCGAGTAGACCATGAATGGCACTGGCTGTTTGGCTATTTCCCTCAGCTCCTTCAACCACAAAAAAAAAAAAAAGCTATTTATTGCTCTCACATGTTTTAAGTTTTTGTGTATCAACATACCCGTACACAACACTCTTAATTCTAGCACAGTGTAATTTACAACAGTTTCTCAAATCACTGGTTTTCAATTGCTGGTTTCTCCATTATTCCTGGGGCCAGAGTCTTTTAGTAAGAGTGTCCTCCCTTCCTTACCTAGACTTAGCAGCTAAGATAGTAAACAGCATCCTCCCCTGTGACTACTTCAAGCAAACACTCTTCCTATGCTGCAGACACATTTCTGAAGCTTATTTTCCTAAGGCGTGTGTAGCATGTTATATCCTGAGATGCTTAGAAGGACTCTCAGTTTCACAAATGTCCCTTTCCGAGACTTCCATAGCCTTGGAAGTTTAGAGCAACAAAATCAAGAATTGAAAATAATTTAAAAATATTTGAGAAGTCTGGCCAAAATCAGTTTCCTATTGTACTTCCTTTACCTGGTTTCTGTTCTGTTTTATTTACATCCTATAAGAGTCTGTTAAATAGATAGTCATATATCTAAAATGTAGATAGCCATCTACTCAGGATTCGTATTTGTTAAATTTCACACTACAAGACTAGATGAGGTTTAAAACAAATAGAAATACTATGATATTTAATCAGGGCCTCCATAGATCCCTCCCCTTCTCCAGGTGTAGCCACTCTCCCTCCCTTTCCACTAAGGCTTAATTAGAAAAGTAGCCCTGACGTATACGTTTACCATTTACGCAGAGGAGCTCCGCACAGATACACAACTCTAATACCTGTTTCCGACTGAACTCTCAACAGCAAGGTATGTCATGAAAATTAGACCCTCCAAATAATTAAAGTCTATCATTAGGAAAGAATGACAGATGCAGAAAATAAAATAAAAACTCACTTTTTATAGACAGGATAAATTATTAGGTTTAGAGGAAAGAACATTTTTGTGTGGTGTCACTTTTCTTTTGAAATTTTTGGTAGGAAAATAAACATGAAGTTTCAAACTCTGCACCGTGCTATGATTGAACCTGAGTAACGAGACATATCATCGGTACCAGCCTTTACTATGTGACGATTTCATGCAATGGATTGCAGGTGCTCAAAAGAAACTTGTCTTTTTTAAAAAGGAGAGAAAAACAGTCATATTTTTAACCTTAATCTTGACTCATTGCCACCAACCCTAAAGTGCCACACAGAGAGAAAGCACAGGAATTGTGAATCTAAGTGATAAAGAATTTTGTTGCTCTTGTTATCTAGTTTTTGTTTTTGTCTTTTTTCTGTTACACGGTATTTATATCGGAGTCAGAAATCAGAGCTGAATCCAAAGCTTCATAGCTGAAGGAACGTGGTTTTGTTCCATGGGAGGCTGAGTGCTCATTGGTATTCTCTTTGGCAAGGAGCCTCCCTGAACAGTTCTGCAAACTGGAATCTGCTTTCAGGAACTTCCAGAGGCTGCAACAGCAAAGGTCCCTTCCCAGAGCACTGGTATACCTACCCAAACCCTTTCCCCAATAAGGCTAAATAAATAAATAAATAAGTAAATAAATAGAGACTTTCTGCCCTCTAGGGCTGTTGTAGAATAAGCTTCTGTTGTGTTATATGACTCAGATTGTAGGAACTTGTTAGAATAGTCCTTGAAATTTAAAAAAAAATTAAATTAATAACTACAACTTAAAAGTTTATCAGCTGCTGAGATACCATAGTAAATAAGGTAGTTTTCCCAGAGCAAGCTTCATTCATCATACTTGTGATATAGTGACCTCTGCAGTTTCTGCAAAGTTGGAAAACTGGATTGTATGATTTATGGCAGTGGATAATTATGTTCATATGAACTTTCCATGAAAGTTATAAAAACAACAACCACAAAAAAATACTGGCTCTTATGTTACAAATGGTATACCACCAAGAAAACAAATCTTGTTTTACTTTTTTTTTTCTATAAAAAATCATTTTCCGAAAGAAAGTCATGCTTTCATTGTATGATTAATCAGGAAAGTTTTCCAAGCCTTTCTCTGCATTGATAAATTCTTAATGTCCATGAAGAAACTCGAGATTTTTACATCTTGAAAAACTTATTTTTCTTGGTAAGACTTTCTCTGTGTGTGCCGATTGATAGAAGTTTAAACTGTGTTTTAAACCTTTACTTTCCAACTCTAGAAGATACACTGATTTTTAGAGACATGAGTGGAGTGGGAAGGACATGGCATTCCTTTTACATATTGTTAACACTTAGTTTGCTATTATGTTTACATACACACACACATATACACATACATGTAACAATATATATTTATTGTGTAAAAATGTTTTCTTCATCCATGGGAGTTTCCATATTCTGTTTTGTGGCACTAACCAAAGCTTCACATTCAATTTCCTAGGTAGTCACTTATGAAAATCATCCCTGTTTACTGCACAGGTATTTTCACATCTTGTGTGTTAAAATTAGTATTATGTATTTAAGACCCTGAGACGTGTCTGCTTTTAATTGGTTTATCTGAGTAACTTTTCGATTCTGAAAGCTTAGCCTGGCAAGTAGACTGATATCTGATGGAGGGAAGCTTTGACAATAGGGAACTGTGACTGTAGTGTAGAGATGGCAGACATGCAAAAGCAAGCAGCCGACAGGAAAAGGGCATGGGGTGATTTTATACACAACCGAAGCACTACCTAATCATGTATAGTTTAGTGTCGATGTGAGCTCTCAGCCTCTCATTTCCCATGAGGAGTCTCGGTCTGTAGAGTCATATGGGACACGGATTTAGTTGATAGTGAGTTAGGTTTCTACAAGACTTGCTTTCGTTCACAAGTAATACATAATGCCACTTGGTGTGTTCTAGTTTATTCGGTATGTGTTATTCATTGGTTGTCACGAACCGGCTAGTAACACTGAAACACATGCATGAACAATGCTTACCTAATGTTTTTCCTCCAAGAGATCACAGTCTTTTTGCACCAAAGAATATGAAAGCAATGTTTCTGCATTATGCCTATGAGTCTTTTTAATTTTTTTAATTGCTTGACAGTTTCATATATTATGTCATGAACTATATTTATTTTGTCCCCTGGGCCTGTAATTCCTCTGTGTCATCCCCCTTCTTCTCCCACTGGAACCCATAAGGGTCCAGCTCCTATCTTAATGTCTTCTTTTTATGTGTGGTCACTGCATTTAAATAGAGTTCCTTGCCCTTGATCATTGGTGGGAGGTAATTCACTAGAGCAAGGGCCATTTATTAATGGCTACACCATTGAAGAAAATGACACACTGTCCCTTAACAACTGTTAATTGCCAACAATCTATTAGGGAAATGTGGAGCCTCTCACTCCCATCCATGATAACATGTTGATAGGCCCAATCTTGTACAGATAACCACATCATTTGCTTCCTGTCACCCATCCTCTGGCTTTTTCTTCCTGCCCACTCTTCTGTGATATTCACCCAGTCTTGAAGAGGATGATATTGAGGTATGCCTTTTAGGGGCAAGCACTCTATCATTGCTTATCTTCACATTTGAAACATCAAAATTGCCACCAAAAAGCACCAAAGTATTTTTAAGTTAAATAAATAAAAGCACACAATGGTGACATTTGCTGGCACCGTAAGATGTGAAATAGAACAATAAAGTTCACTTGAACATTAACTGGAAATGTGTGTCAGGAGATACATTTTTATTGCTCTTTGCACATCCGTAGATAACTGCCACCACATTGTCAGTGTTGATTTGGGGGTTACGAATGAATCCCAATTAGAAGGCAGGTGGTCATCAAATTCCGAATCTAGGAATAAGAGTTATCTCTGTAAGACCATATTTTATGTTTGTAGACCAACCTTTGTCTTAGCTCTATTTCTTTTTTTTTTAAATCTTATTTCCCATTTGCCTGAATTTTAATTTTAATTTAACTGTTCTACATATATATATTATTTAAAAAAAAGGTATTAAAAAGTACAGTGTTGGGCTTCTTCCTCACCTTAGACCATGTTCCCGAATGAAAAACATAGTTTTAATATTTTTAAATAGCCTTAGGTAGCCAATAGCTGGGCAACTGCCTACCTTCCATGTTCTTGGAATCTACTTTCAATAACCCCAAGTTACTAATTACTATTTACTATGTTCCATCTGGGTTGCTCTTAACCCAATTGGCCAGTCATCTGAGCCATGTTCTGTTGGCCATTAGTCTATGACGGCTCTCCTTCTCTTCCTGTATGTTTTTCTACCATGGTGGCTTTTTACTCTGAGCCATGTTCTGTTGGCCATTAGCCTATGACGGCTCTCCTTGTCTTCCTGTATGTTCTTCTACCATGGTGGCTTTTTACTCTTTCCTTATGATGCTCTCTCACAAGCTCATGAAACAACCACCCCGCCTCCATCTCTTCTGCCAAGCTATTGTCTTGCATGGTTGCTTGTATTGCCAAGCTATTCTGTCAGCATCTTTATTCACCAATCAGAATTAACTTGGGGGCAGGGTCCCAAGGTCAGGACTTGGGGGCCATCCTTAGCATGACAATAGACAGTAAAAGATAAAACCTCAACACATATTTTGCCTGTTTTCAGAACATATAGGGAATGATATGGGTAGCCGGTGGTTTCATTCTATTCTTCGATTAAGGAACAGGGAAGAGTTCGGAACAAACCAAAGGTAAAGTTCTTTGCCAAGCATGACAGTTACTTCAGTAGAGGCAGAGCCTCGCAAGGCTAGAAAGGTCATTGTCTGTAAAGGAGTTTGGATTTTTATTTGAGTTTAGAGTGTCTGACCCAATTATTTCTCTTTCCTCATTCTTCATTGGTCCATAGATGTCTATAACACGGAACTTACATGGCAGGCAACCTAAAGGAAAACAAAACAAAACAAAAAAAACTAGCCAGGCCTTTCTATTTTGCTGTCAACAAGCTATTTGAGGGAAACTAACTGAAAGACAACATACATAAATGTGATATCTCAGTTCTTGTAAGTTTCCTGCTGGAAATGATGAGAATACAGTGGATCTGTAGCTCACTCTGTAAAGGATTGTGCCTAGTGATCTCCATTTCCACATAGTCGCTGGTTTACTTATCCTACAGCCTCCCATCTTCCACTATCTTCCTCTTCCAAGGAAGCATCAGAGTTATACCCAAAGAAAACATCATCACAAGCGTAGTCCCAGTAAATATGTTAATGGACAGTGTTATCAAGCAGAAATTAAACGTCTATCTTCAATTTTCTTGTTAGGTGCAGAAGTATATAACGGTGGCGACAATGTTGGTGCTAAACTGCTCCACCAAATTACTCATCCTGGAGAACATGTTGAAGAGTCACTTTCCTGAGTCACTCAAGGTAGTATAAACCTAATAATTCTCCTAAGTTTCTCTGTTGTGTTAATCTGTAGATAATGTCAGACTTGTGGCTGTTCCTGCTCTTCTCTGATAAAAACATGTCAGCTTCCCAGTCTGCTCCCATCATCCTTCTGTTGTTCTAGAGGATTCTTCAGGGAAATTTGGGCAATGATAGATTATGTTATTTCCAAGGTAAAGTGTTTTAAATGGTAATAGATTATGGATGTAGTGGCATTGAAGATAAGAATATGCTTGAGGACTGAAGTTTAGATGTAGGTTTGTTACCTCTTGGTCACTCAAGACTCCAATCAGAAATCCAAATGAATTAAATTTATGTAAAAGTGAAAAAGTAAAAGTTTAAACTTTAAACAGAAAGTGTGAGGGAGTGTCTCTGTAACCTTGGGGTAAGGATTTATTAAATAAAATGAATGATGCGAGCTGAAATAAAAGATGAATTCTGCCATTAAAAAAAAAAAAAGAAAAGAAAGGAAAACATTCCCACCAAATTGGTCTGTGCCAAAACTTGTGGTGAATTTTTCTAGTGATTGAAGTGGGAGGTCTCATCTCATTGTGAGTGGTGATTACCTTGGGCAGGTGAACCTGATAAGACCAGAAGAGCTAATAAAAGCAAGATCCAGCATTTCTCCACAACTTCTGCATTAGTTCAAACCTCCAGGTTCCATTGCTGCTTGAACTTTTGACATGCTTTCCTTGGATAATGTAGTATACAACCTGTAAGATGAAATAAATCCTTTCTTCCTCCTGCCCCCAAAAAATTCCAGTGGGGGACCTCCTGATCACTCGGTGCCCATGTGAACAATGTCATAAATCAAGGATTATAAGAAATGTAGAAACAGGGCTGCTGTGTGCACTGAAGTTGCCTTTGAGCTGACAGACATTTAGGTTGTTTCCTGTTTGATGAAGAAGAAGAAGAAGAAGAAGAAGAAGAAGAAGAAGAAGAAGAAGAGGAGGAGGAGGAGGAGGAGGAGGAGGAGGAGGAGGAGGAGGAGGAGGAAGAGGAAGAGAGAGGAGGAGGAGGAAAGGCTATGAACATTAGCTCAATAATCCTATTTGCAACTTTCACCAGTTCTGTGTGTGCATGATGCTTTTAAGACAGACATTTTTCTCAGTAGAGGGAAAAAATGGGAAAGCTACAGAACAGCTTCTTCAGGATTATAGGGGATCAGCATTTAAGTGGCTCTATCAGTTTCAATGAGCATCTTTGAAATGGCAATTCTAAAGAAATCCATATTACCTATGTGTGGGTTTGTGTGTGAGTATATCTATACTTCCTCTCTCAGGGCTGTGATTTTGAATAACTGGAAGATGCTGTTTCAGGTTGAAGGACTAGTGGTATAACTGTCTTGTCTCTGATTCCCCGGCTCAGGTGTATGGAGCAGTGATGAACATAAATCGTGGAAATCCCTTTCAAAAGGAAGTGGTATTGGATTCATGGCCGGACTTCAAAGCTATCATCACCCGACGACAGAGAGAGGTACAGTGCTGAAAGGCAAATAAGAAAAGTGAAA